GCATGTCTTTTTGTGACCGGAAGAGTCCTGCCAACCGACTGCCATCGGAAATGAGGACATCCATTTTTTCACGATTTTCGCAAAAAATCATGATGGTTACATCATTAAATTTGCCAAAAATCGGCCTCATTTTCGCAGTCGAGATTTTGATGCCGTTCGACAGTATGGATCCTCGCGATCCTGACAGACATGGTCCTGCACTTATCTGGCCCTAATTGTCTGAGATATAGCCCTCCGAAGATTTGAATTTGCATATTATTAAAATACTGGTTTTTTATGTAGGCTATATCTCTGGTTTCCAGCGGCCGATCGGGGCGTGGCATGTCTTTTTGTGACCGGAAGAGTCCTGCCAACCGACTGCCATCGGAAATGAGGACATCCATTTTTTCACGATTTTCGCAAAAAATCATGATGGTTACATCATTAAATTTGCCAAAAATCGGCCTCATTTTCGAAGTCGAGATTTTGATGCCGTTCGACAGTATGGATCCTCGCGATCCTGGGAGACATGGTCCTGCACCGATCGGGCCCTATTTGTCTGAGATATAGCACTCCGAAGATTTGGATTTGCATATTATTAAAATACTGGTTTTTTCTTTAGGCTATATCTCGGCTACCCAGCGGCCGATCGGGGCGTGGCATGTCTTTTTGTGACCGGAAGAGTCCTGCCAACCGACTGCCATCGGAAATGAGGACATCCATTTTTTCACGATTTTCGCAAAAAATCATGATGGTTACATCATTAAATTTGCCAAAAATCGGCCTCATTTTCGAAGTCGAGATTTTGATGCCGTTCGACAGTATGGATCCTCGCGATCCTGGGAGACATGGTCCTGCACCGATCGGGCCCTATTTGTCTGAGATATAGCACTCCGAAGATTTGGATTTGCATATTATTAAAATACTGGTTTTTTCTTTAGGCTATATCTCGGCTACCCAGCGGCCGATCGGGGCGTGGCATGTCTTTTTGTGACCGGGAGAGTCCTGCCAATCGACTGCCATCGGAAATGAGGACATCCATTTTTTCACGATTTTCGCAAAAAATCATGATGGTTACATCATTAAATTTGCCAAAAATCGGCCTCATTTTCGAAGTCGAGATTTTGATGCCGTTCGACAGTATGGATCCTCGCGATCCTGGGAGACATGGTCCTGCACCGATCGGGCCCTATTTGTCTGAGATATAGCCTTTCGAACATATGGATTTGCATATTATTAAAATACTGGTTTTTTCTTTAGGCTATATCTCGGCTACCCAGCGGCCGATCGGGGCGTGGCATGTCTTTTTGTGACCGGAAGAGTCCTGCCAACCGACTGCCATCGGAAATGAGGACATCCATTTTTTCACGATTTTCGCAAAAAATCATGATGGTTACATCATTAAATTTGCCAAAAATCGGCCTCATTTTCGAAGTCGAGATTTTGATGCCGTTCGACAGTATGGATCCTCGCGATCCTGGGAGACATGGTCCTGCACCGATCGGGCCCTATTTGTCTGAGATATAGCACTCCGAAGATTTGGATTTGCATATTATTAAAATACTGGTTTTTTATGTAGGCTATATCTCTGGTTTCCAGCGGCCGATCGGGGCGTGGCATGTCTTTTTGTGACCGGAAGAGTCCTGCCAACCGACTGCCATCGGAAATGAGGACATCCATTTTTTCACGATTTTCGCAAAAAATCATGATGGTTACATCATTAAATTTGCCAAAAATCGGCCTCATTTTCGCAGTCGAGATTTTGATGCCGTTCGACAGTATGGATCCTCGCGATCCTGACAGACATGGTCCTGCACTTATCTGGCCCTAATTGTCTGAGATATAGCCCTCCGAAGATTTGAATTTGCATATTATTAAAATACTGGTTTTTTATGTAGGCTATATCTCTGGTTTCCAGCGGCCGATCGGGGCGTGGCATGTCTTTTTGTGACCGGAAGAGTCCTGCCAACCGACTGACATCGGAAATGAGGACATCCATTTTTTCACGATTTTCGCAAAAAATCATGATGGTTACATCATTAAATTTGCCAAAAATCGGCCTCATTTTCGAAGTCGAGATTTTGATGCCGTTCGACAGTATGGATCCTCGCGATCCTGGGAGACATGGTCCTGCACCGATCGGGCCCTATTTGTCTGAGATATAGCACTCCGAAGATTTGGATTTGCATATTATTAAAATACTGGTTTTTTCTTTAGGCTATATCTCGGCTACCCAGCGGCCGATCGGGGCGTGGCATGTCTTTTTGTGACCGGAAGAGTCCTGCCAACCGACTGCCATCGGAAATGAGGACATCCATTTTTTCACGATTTTCGCAAAAAATCATGATGGTTACATCATTAAATTTGCCAAAAATCGGCCTCATTTTCGAAGTCGAGATTTTGATGCCGTTCGACAGTATGGATCCTCGCGATCCTGGGAGACATGGTCCTGCACCGATCGGGCCCTATTTGTCTGAGATATAGCACCTCGAAGATTTGGATTTGCATATTATTAAAATACTGGTTTTTTCTTTAGGCTATATCTCGGCTACCCAGCGGCCGATCGGGGCGTGGCATGTCTTTTTGTGACCGGAAGAGTCCTGCCAATCGACTGCCATCGGAAATGAGGACATCCATTTTTTCACGCTTTTCGCAAAAAATCATGATGGTTACATCATTAAATTTGCCAAAAATCGGCCTCATTTTCGCAGTCGAGATTTTGATGCCGTTCGACAGTATGGATCCTCGCGATCCTGACAGACATGGTCCTGCACTTATCTGGCCCTAATTGTCTGAGATATAGCCCTCCGAAGATTTGAATTTGCATATTATTAAAATACTGGTTTTTTATGTAGGCTATATCTCTGGTTTCCAGCGGCCGATCGGGGCGTGGCATGTCTTTTTGTGACCGGAAGAGTCCTGCCAACCGACTGACATCGGAAATGAGGACATCAATTTTTTCACGATTTTCGCAAAAAATCATGATGGTTACATCATTAAATTTGCCAAAAATCGGCCTCATTTTCGAAGTCGAGATTTTGATGCCGTTCGACAGTATGGATCCTCGCGATCCTGGGAGACATGGTCCTGCACCGATCGGGCCCTATTTGTCTGAGATATAGCACTCCGAAGATTTGGATTTGCATATTATTAAAATACTGGTTTTTTCTTTAGGCTATATCTCGGCTACCCAGCGGCCGATCGGGGCGTGGCATGTCTTTTTGTGACCGGGAGAGTCCTGCCAATCGACTGCCATCGGAAATGAGGACATCCATTTTTTCACGATTTTCGCAAAAAATCATGATGGTTACATCATTAAATTTGCCAAAAATCGGCCTCATTTTCGCAGTCGAGATTTTGATGCCGTTCGACAGTATGGATCCTCGCGATCCTGACAGACATGGTCCTGCACTTATCTGGCCCTAATTGTCTGAGATATAGCCCTCCGAAGATTTGAATTTGCATATTATTAAAATACTGGTTTTTTATGTAGGCTATATCTCTGGTTTCCAGCGGCCGATCGGGGCGTGGCATGTCTTTTTGTGACCGGAAGAGTCCTGCCAACCGACTGACATCGGAAATGAGGACATCCATTTTTTCACGATTTTCGCAAAAAATCATGATGGTTACATCATTAAATTTGCCAAAAATCGGCCTCATTTTCGAAGTCGAGATTTTGATGCCGTTCGACAGTATGGATCCTCGCGATCCTGGGAGACATGGTCCTGCACCGATCGGGCCCTATTTGTCTGAGATATAGCACTCCGAAGATTTGGATTTGCATATTATTAAAATACTGGTTTTTTCTTTAGGCTATATCTCGGCTACCCAGCGGCCGATCGGGGCGTGGCATGTCTTTTTGTGACCGGAAGAGTCCTGCCAACCGACTGCCATCGGAAATGAGGACATCCATTTTTTCACGATTTTCGCAAAAAATCATGATGGTTACATCATTAAATTTGCCAAAAATCGGCCTCATTTTCGAAGTCGAGATTTTGATGCCGTTCGACAGTATGGATCCTCGCGATCCTGGGAGACATGGTCCTGCACCGATCGGGCCCTATTTGTCTGAGATATAGCACTCCGAAGATTTGGATTTGCATATTATTAAAATACTGGTTTTTTCTGTAGGCTATATCTCTGGTTTCCAGCGGCCGATCGGGGCGTGGCATGTCTTTTTGTGACCGGAAGAGTCCTGCCAACCGACTGCCATCGGAAATGAGGACATCCATTTTTTCACGATTTTCGCAAAAAATCATGATGGTTACATCATTAAATTTGCCAAAAATCGGCCACATTTTCGAAGTCGAAGAAAAGTACATATTTTTGATCGGAGAAAATTTCCTCGGCCCTTAATAAGTACTCCATCAAATCAGGTAAAAAGGATCCTGGCTCCTTGATGCGGAATGCCTTATATCATGAAAGCTATTTCGATCGGACAACAAATATCGGACTTACGCCATAGACAAAAAATTACAAGAACATCTTGTTACTACAACAACAACTGCTTTCCATTTTGGGGCACTCAAAACCGAGATTTTTCGATTTTCAGATCTGGTATACCAGGCGAACAGAAATCAGCAGAACGCCGCTAGTTGTTTTTAAATTTCTTTTCATTCTTTTTCAGTTTGTGGTTCGAGTCGCGTTCAATAGAGCTGGAGGGAATACAAAAATAAAAGAGGAATAAAAATAAAAATAATAATAATAAATAACAATAAAAATTAGCCAATGGAAAATTGTTATTCAAATGTGCAATGAACCTTAGTAGTATCCAAACTCATTTCGATGGTTATTTCTATATGCTAAATTATTAAAAAACCATATAATGAGTGATATCGCACACATCTGGGAAGCTAATTTGGATCCAATGGGTTGGAAAGCGCGGCGGCTTTCCACTTTGTTTAAAGCGCTGCTCTGTGATACAATTGAATCAGTGGCCGAATCGGAGTCGGAAGTTGCAATGAATCCAGTGTACATGCGGATTGTGTGTTCCATTATTTTATTATTATTGTTCGACATCGATGCGGTAAGAATATCTTTTTCTGTAAGAATGGGACGACAAGAGACTAATGTAGGAGGATTAATATAAAGGTCGACAGCCGGCTGGAGTTTACAAATATAAAATGCACCGCCCTGGATAGAAAATTCGTAGACTTCCAAGAGTGCTATCTGAAAGCCGCGAATCGAACCTATAAATACATTTCAATCAATGCTGTTCTTCACCAGAAACCAATTACCCAATTTAAGGTATGGAAAATACATAGCCCAAAACATTTTCAGAGGGCTTACCTCCATGAACAATGAACGTAACTTTTTATTTAAGGTAAACTTTGCACTGTATAAACGCTCCAATGGCCTGCAACCGATCAACTATAACACGACTATGGACGGCTGTAAGGTATTCGACAACGAGAAGAATCCGGTGAATACATTTCTATTTGGCTTGTTCAAGACGTACTCCAACATCAACCACACGTGTCCCTACAATGCAAGTATCTTAAGGGACATCCTATAGGATTTTGCCTTACTAATTTGTTTTTGTTTGTGCTTGCAGCATGATCTTATAGTGGAGAAGCTACCCACCACTTTCGTACTGCAACAGTTCTCAACGTTTTTGCCCTTTCCCAGTGGGGACTATGTCTTCTCCAGCAATTGGATCACCCACGGGGGTAATCGGGCCAATGTCAGGGTCCATGCTACCCTAGATTAATTCATTTCGATTCCGATTCTATCAAATTACAATAAATATATGGCCTAAAATGCCTGCAGAATAGACTATTTGCTTATTTATTTAGCAAAGTTCAAGTAAATGGTTCCATTTATTGTTCAACATAATATATTAATTTAAACGGCAACTTCAACCAAAGAAGATAAATCAAACAACAAACCAGGAACAAAATACATAATTGATAACTATTAAGTAAATAAATATTAATTGAAACTCTCCTGCTGAATTTCTTTCGATTCAATCAGCATCTTTAGGGACATACCATCCTGACTATCAGTATCATTCCCCTCGCCATAAAGCTTAGCAAAAATGAGATCCTTGATCATTCTGATTGCCTGGGAAATGGAAGGTGGCGGCGGCGGAATGCCGTTGCCGGGGAGCACATAGTCGGCCACAAAATGCAGCATGCGGTAGGTGGCATGCTTGTAGGCCTCTCTCTGGATGAGGCACTGGCGGATACGCTGCCCCATGGTGGCGGCCAGGCAGCTCTGTAGCAAGGCCACCTGCTCCTCCATCTGCTGAGCAGTGCGCTCCACCTGCTTGGTATGATCCAGGAGTTTGCTGTTGGAGCAGTTGAGACATTTATGTATTATGGAGGGTAATACTACTTTGATCTCTTACTTGTACTTCTCCTCAGAGCTGAGTTTGATCTTCTCTGTTATCTCCATTTCATTACGTATTTCCTTGATGATCTTCATCGAGGCTTCTAACGCGTTCTCGAATAGTTCTAGCTTGATATACTGCTCCTGTTGAATGCCCAAGCTCTCCTGATAATCGCGCTGAAGTTGGGCAATCTGCTTCAGATGTTCCCCCTGGTCGGCGTTGGCGCGAAAGAGCTCGCTGTTCAAAGACTGTTGCATCTCGTGGAGGTTCTTAATCTCCAGATCCCTCAGTTTTATCTCATCGGCGAGCCTCTGCTTCTCGTCATTGATCTTCTTCAGCTTCAGATTGAGCTCCTCGTAGGAGAGCTTAATAACGACTGCTTCGCGATACGATAGACGCAGCTGTTCGTTGAGGGTGACATTGAGACACTGCTCCTCTGAGAACAGAGAGGTGTACACGTGCAACTGATTGCGAGTTTTCAGTAACTGGGGAATAGGGATACAAGGGATACATTCTAACCAATCAAGGGTAATATTTCTTTCCCCAAGAATTGACATAAAACATAAAGCTTCTTGACATTTCGTCAAACTATATTTATGTCAAAAATCACTTAAATTCTAGCAAATTCCCAATCAATGCCCTGAACTTCTCTACTCACCATCTTCTTTTGGTCCTCCAACTGCTCTGTGATATGACGGACTTCCGCACGCCGCTTGCGCCAGGCGTGCAGCATAATCGTATTGAAGATCTTCAGGCTGGCCAAGCGTGCATCCTGATCGGGGCTGACGATGAAGCTCATCCGTCCCTTGATGGAGGCGTCATACATCTGGGACGCATCCTGCATTAGCATCTTGGACATATTCGCATCCAGTCCAGCTACAGCCCCCACTGTCTGCTCATCCTTGCAGGGGACATGGGCCACCAGCTGATAGTTGCCTGAGCGACGGGCCTCCTTGAAGTCCATTTGGGAGACAGACTTGCGGGCCTGGTAGTTGATCATGGCCGCCGTCTGCTGGCGCTTCAGCTTTAGATATGGAGTCGTCGTCAGACTTAAGGGCTCCTTGGGCAGCGTCACGATCTTTGGCACTATCTTGCAGTTGCGCTGACCCTCCGAGCGGGGAACAGCGATAGTGGTCACCGATGTGTCCGACGACGAGGGTGTCAGCAGCCCAGCCGGTGGAGCTGGAGCCTTCTCCAGCAGCCGCTTCTGCCCGATGTTCTTCTTCTTGTCGAAGGAGCTAAGGATGGCAGGCATTCGGCATCCATCTTTTGTCGTGGATCTCTGCACTCACCCATTAGTGGTCGTCTTCTTCGGACCGATCTGCGTGAAGCTACGTCGCTTTTGCACTGTTCCCGGAATCAGGGTCTTGGTGTACGCGGTCCTCGGCGAGGTGAGGTTCCTGGGTCCGTTGGCCGGGCCATTCGATAGGGTTTGACGAATACGTGGACTTTTGGGCTTCATGGTTACTGGCGACTAAACTCTTTAAGAATCTTTTTGAACTCGAAATGGAACACAACAAATGCTAACAATTTTTCTTATATTTTTGGGTTTTTTTTTTGTTTCAAGAGAGAACGTCACAACAAAACAGCACTAGAAGGAATGAGACTTATACGACTGAGATTTCAGTTAGAACTGTATAAACTAAAGGCAGGGCCTACTGAGATATGCTTCATTGGGATTTATTTTTGGCTGAAATGGATTTGACAGGAAAAACTCTGTGAAAGGAACGAATACTGGTTTAATGCTAGGAATGCTGGTTAAGATCGGGAAAAGCAATTCTCAGGAATCTTTCCCCGAGACCCCATGTTACGCGTTCCTCATCCCAGGGGAAGAGCACTGTTTGTAGAGAAATTGTGCCCCACCCAATTGACGGGCACAATAAGTTCCTATCATGACTATTCATAGGTCTATAGGGTGTATAGTGACAAAAATAAACATATGCACAGTACCTATGGTATACATTGTATCAACGAATGAATATGCAGTGAAACATTAGCATGGGACTTCCATGTAAAGTCAGTTTAGTTGGGATTTGGCAGTACACGAATCAAGTTGAAAACATGAGGCACTCGGGCTTTCTGCTGATCATTTTGTATCTTTTTCACCAAGGGATACCCTCACTCGCCAGAGGATACCAGGAACAACATTTGGCGCAGGATGCTAGCATCGCGGAGCAGTGCAATGGCTATTGTTTCTCAGTTCTCCAGCCCTTCCTCGATAATTTCATCCAGTTGAAAATGACAGGTGATGCCAATAATGAAATGAAAGACGAAATTCAATCATTGAAGGCCACCGTCAACAATTTGCAGAGCCAGTTACTAAATAGTGTCGAGCAAATGACGGGCCTCAAAGAGCAGGTGAAGGAGATTTCTGCAGTGAAAGTTCATCAAAAGGCGGAAAGTGTTCACGAAACATGTCCCAATGGTCCCTCAAGTGGCATTTTCCAGATAAAGATTGAGGCAATAAAGGAGCCGTTCCAAGTTCCCTGCGTGCCGTCTTCGTCTGGCTGGATGGTCATTCAAAGGCGCATCGACGGCAGTACTGACTTTAATCGCACCTGGAACGACTACAAGCTAGGCTTCGGAAACCTCCGGGATAACTTTTTCCTGGGACTCGAAAAAATCCATCTAATGACTAAAAACCAACCCCACGAGCTGTTCATCCAACTTCAAGATATTAAAGGAACGACCAGCTTTGCTCATTACAAGGATTTTAAAATAGGGAGCGAAAAGGAAGCCTACAAGCTGAAATCAGTGGGAAAATATTCTGGAACAGCCGGAGATTCACTAACTGAACATCACTTGAATATGAAGTTTTCCACATTGGATCGGGATAATGACATTGATGAGAATCGATATTGTGCTGATGATCTGGGAGGTGGTTGGTGGTTTCGCGATTGCGCACACAGGTAAACCTTAATTTTCCAAAACTAATGGTGTTATTATAATTATTTCGAATATATCATTTTAATTCTCTCATTATAACAGTTCCCTCAACGGAAAATATTATGCAGATGGTAAAAGTGCACCAAGTAAACATGACGGAATTCTTTGGGGTAGTTGGCAGCACTATGACTACACTAACTCGCTTACACGTACCCAAATGATGATAAGGCCTACATCCTATTGTAGTTAAATCAATGTTGAAACACAATTTTAGCCAGTGTTTAAAAAATCCCTTCTTAAAATAGCCTAAGTCGCAGTCGAAACGTTAGCAAAAACGAAAACTGTCGACTGCTTTCTGCAAATTTTGATCCTGAATTTTTTTATTAATAAAATTAAATTGGAGATATGACTAAGACTTTTACTTAAATTTCCGATATTAAATACATCCGTTATTTTCTCACTGCCTTTCTTCACTTTTTGGAGGCCAGAATGGGTCCGGCCTACGATTATTTACAAAAGTAGATTTTTTTCTTTAATTTTATTCTTGTTATAAGTAACCAAGAAACTATACCAAAATTTATTGTAGAAATAAAAATATGTTTCTGCATCGGCCGGGAATCGAACCCGGGCCGCCCGCGTGGCAGGCGAGCATTCTACCACTGAACCACCGATGCTGTGTTGATTTTCGGCAATAAATATTTAAATATATGGAAATATAAAGAATATTTATTAATCTTAGTTCGATGATCCAACTATTTCTGTGTTCTATTTTCTATACCACATTTTTAACCTGGCACTCCATTCATTGGGTAGAATTCTTTTTAAAACGATAAGCAAATTGATTGGACTATCAAGTAGTAAAATAACTTTCCAGTCCCATCAATGGGAACGGTTTAAACGTAAAAGTATTGTATTTAGAAATTTAAAACAAAAATATTTAAGGAACAATTTTCTCTAGAGTTCAATGATTAAAATCAATTTTGTATGGAATCTCTTCAATTGACACATGACAAATTTGGATCCGCAAAATGAAAGAACATTAAGTTCAAAGCAACAGTCACATCCTGCGGACAACGGCACCCATAGACACCCCACACCACACGCCCCCCAATCAGACCCCACATCCGGTTGAGTTCTCACACATACTCGAAGTAGCTCGAATCGGTTGCGGCATCCGCTTGGTTTTTTGTGATACTCTCAGATTTGGGGGCATAAAAGCTTCGTTCTACTGTTTTCAATAAACATAAATGAGTAATACCGATATGGTTATAATTTATACAACCTATTTCTGGTTTGAAAAGGATACACACTACTATACGAGTATATAATCCTCGTATATTATAAAGTTTCAAATAACTTAGCCATGGAGAGGTGGCATGACTTTAAGGGCATCTAAATTTCGACGCGTCTGAAGTACCTTTAATGCTTTTGTGGTCCATTTTGCTGCGGGCTATAGCCCAGACACGAAACTTTTTCCGCTAGATTGGGCGCCAACTGGCTGTTCGAATCGGGTACTCAACTGAGGTGGAAAATCTGCGAATTCACCACGGCAGCGGAAACGTACCGTTTGAGAGTGCGCAGGCAGCGAAAGCTTTCTTTCAGACTGCCTCGTCTCCACGCCTCTGGCCACCCTGTCTGACTGAGTGGCGGCCCTAGGACAACTATTGTGCCTGTGGTTGGGTGGTGGGGCCGCCGTGTGGCGGCCAAGGCAATGTTGGCTTCATTAACGGTTCGACGCTGCTGGCAAACGGTTCTTCCTCTCCTCGGCCAACAGGGCGCAACGAAAGCTACGAAAAGGACGCGAACGAGAAAGTAACGTAAATTGAAATTTAAATACAATTCGATTCCGAAAAAGATCCCAATAAAACAATAAATAAAACAAATAAATTCAAGAAAATAATACTGCTGGGAAAAAAATCATTAACAAGTGTTTATCTGTGAGAGTGTTTGTCTGTGTCTGAGATCCGAAACGAACAACAAAATTAAAAATTGATAATTGAATATCAAATAAAATACATTGAATTATTGCCTTTGGTGGAAATTCTGATTTAGGTGAGTTCTGCATTCTGTCTATAAATAATCTTCGGCACCAGCGAGATTACAAAATACCAAAATTGTTTATAAATAATAGGCCTTTAAGGCCAACCAAAGAATACAAACGAAATCGGTTTCTCCCAGCAGATCAATTAATTCAATTCCACTGGGATCTTACTCATATTCCCATTCCGCCGATGAGATTCCAGTTCCGATCTTAGATGCTTACGTCTGGGGGAAAAAGTAATCAAATGCCCACAAAGGCAACGTCATCAACATCATACATACCTCTTTCTCCCTAATGACCAGATCTGGTTCTGCGTTTAAATATTCATTGCTTGATTTAAAGGGAACGACGATGCCAGGCGAAAGATACTTCTGACGTGTTAAGCAGAATCAAGTTGATTGATGGAGCGCGCGCCTAAGATTCCCAGAGCTGACGTTCTTAACATTGGAGAAATGTTTAGAAAAAAGATGAAAATGCAAAAAATTACTCACGGAAATGGAATGGATTTCGCAGTAACAACTAGGCGAAACAATTTTAATTGGCAATGTTTCAATGTAGACATTACGAGTACTTGATCGGTGACAACATTCTAATAAAATAGAAATTCATCGAACATTTGTAACGTTTAAACGATTTAACTTAGGTTAAAGATGACATGCAAATTTGGAAGCGGTTGAATTGTATTTACAATCCAGAATATATTTAACGGATTTACATGTAGTTTTTTGGATATGCTAGTATACTAATAACATAACGGATATATATGTGTATTTGGAATACATCTTTAACAAAATGAATAGTTATAGTTGTATGTCCCAGATTTTTAAATGTTTTTTTATGTATCTTTTGGATTTGCTCCGCATTTCTAAGTGGTATTGGCTATCTTAATGTAAGTGGAAGTGCTTGTCAACTTTGAGTCAAAGGAACAATCAGTACTTTTATATACATATGCCCACATAAATGTTAGAGACATCAACTGAGATTGGGAACTGGAAATTGTAAAACTATCTTTGCTCAATATCTATAATAGTAAAACAAAGATAGTTGGGTAGATTTGTAATAATTGTTCGGCGATGGGACACCTTCGTTATAGGGTATCGAACCGAACTAGGATAGGATGTATCTAGGATATATAATCTATGATTTATGCTATTATAGTAAATATTTTCAGCTAGTCCGATAGTCCATGTACTTCTTCAGACAGTTACAGTTTTAGTAAGTTAGGAGTTGATATGATTTCATTTTTGGAGAGAGATTTACATGCGAATAACTTATAAAGAAGTACAAATTTCTGAAAACTAAAGTGAGTTCATCTCTTCGGTTCAATTATAATGAAATACTACTACACATAAGCCAATGAAAAAGCGATTTAAAATGCACTAGAAAAGGCTTTAAGAGAATCAATTAAAATGCCAACTCCAGGGAACAGCAATTTGAGGAAGCTGACCTTTTTATCATTGGTTTGACATTGTTCAACCCTAAACAAATACAGTGAAAGCTCCTCCAAATGAACTGTCCTTAGTTGAACAAAAATAATATTAATAACAAGCAAGAAGTCTCCACGTTAAACACATTATTACTCAATGCCCATCTCTGACAAGGAACACTCTGGAATGGTGGTTGTCCATCTATCAGAGCGATCACTGTATGAGCGAAAACAAAACAAAATAAAACTGTGCAATTGCAATCGACGACGATTCATTTCCAGTTCCAGTTTCAGTGAGAAATGGCAATAAGTTCTAATCCGATCCAGCCCGGTGCCAGCCACGCTCCTGAGTCGTGCCTCCGCCTCCTCCTCTGGCCACTGCCCCACCGATTCCACGGTGCTTCACAAATCGCTGCCACATCAATTAATTAACAGTTGTTTGTGCTGACTATTGCTATTATGGTTGTTGTTGTTTTTTCTGTGGTTGCGGTGTGTTGCTATTATTGCTGTTGATTTTCTATAAGACAAACCACAGACACACTTACACAAACACACAATAAATGTTAAGTCTGTCGCTATTGCTGCTCTAGCCATCTGTCCATCTCTCTCTTTCTCTCGAAGTTACCTGAAGTTGTGAAATGACAAAGAGTCAAAGTCCCAAAGTCTTTGGCTCAGACAACCTTGATATGGTCATCTGGCTGGTAGATTTAACGAAAGACTAGCTTCTGGGATCGAATCTGTAGATACTCTGGTAGTTCAGTAATCATATATTGGTTAAAGTTCCCTAAACTAAACGCATTTTACTACGACGAGGTAGTAGTAGAATTAGTATCAATATTCCTCTCTTCTCTGATTTGCCAAGATTTTATCGAAACCATTATGCCCTCTGAAAGAGTACAGCAAGAAATAGCTTGCATGCGGAACTCGAAAGCGAATTCGAATTCGAACTTAAAGTCAAACTCGAACTCGAAATGAGCATCAAGTCCGCAAGTCCGCAACTCCGCAACTGCATTTACCAAATTATGCAATGCAGAGGCTGAAAACTGGAATGGCAAGGCAACCATTCCCACACCACACACACATGCACACGTACATACATACATATGTACATAACTCTCCCGGAGCTTGGAACTGATCGGCTGCACTTGCTCTCGGCTCTCGGCTCTCAGCTCTGTACAGATTTCCGCATGGGCGAACAACACTCTCACTTGCTCTCACGCACACTTGCAGGCCGACGCCGATGCTGCTGCTTTAATTGAAAATCGTGTGTGAGTGAGTGATACAATTGAGTTTGCCGAGCAAGTGCCTCCGCTACAGCCTCTGGCTCCTCTTGCTGATGATTCATGCTCGTTTTCGGGGAATCCAAAGCCAATCAAGTGTAGTGTGCCCCAGACGGACAGGTTTTCTGGTTTACCTGTTCGTTTTTTTTTGTTATTATGCCAAACAGAAGTTGGGCTAAACCACGAAGCAGTTACCTTAGCCGTGGCCCAAAGAAGAGCACATACAATAGGTATTGGACGAAAGCGGTGCTAACTGATAAGCCATTAGCTTTGCTGGAAATCTTTTCATATACATTGATCTACACATACAGTCATGTGACAAAAAAATAAGAACACCTGGCTATGTTTTAGAAAAAGCTCTATAAAATGACTATTTTCAGTAATTTTGTAAGTAAAAATAAAAACCCAAGGCTAGCACAAATTTTGTTCTATATTTCATAGACTTTAAGCAGTGCAAAATAGTAGGGACGCATACATAAAATATATTTATACATACTTCGTAATTATATTAGTAATTTAAGATATAGGATACATCCATACAAATCACGTACAAATCCTTGTCTATCGAAGAAGAATGTCCCAAGATGATGCTAATCGCGGTGGGGCCTGTGTATGTAAGTACAAATGTAAGGAGATCATCGACCCTTTGCCACAAAAAGGCTACGAAATCAGTTCAAATTTCCACACGAGCGCTAAGGAAGCTTTATCGACATGGATGACAAATATTCCACCAGACAAACAACACTTGGTTGATTGGCCAGAGAAGTAAACAAACAAACACGTTAATCATAAGCTGAGCTTTGAGCGCTCCTTGGCTCCATAAATCGTACGGCTAATTGCTCCCAAAGGATCAGATAAAAATCGCTTTTACATTGTTTTCGTTTCGTCGGTGGATGAGGAGGGCATAAAAAGGTCGACGTAGTAGAGTATGGTATTTTTTCGTATACACTCCACCCACCCCCCCTCGCTGCTGGCAAACATTTAGAGTTCATTTGTAATTTTGCTCATCTTGTTATTGATACCCCCCCCTGGCCACTACCACTATCTGCATGCCTGACTGAATGTCTTGCATTTTAATGCTCTTTGTCTCCCTCTCTCTCTCTTTTGGTGTGGCTCCACTATTGCACGGAGTGGTGGTCACATTATAAACAGTGGCCTCAAAAGCGGAGGCAGAGGAGCAATAAAAGCAGAAACAACAACAAGTGGTTGCTCAACTCTGTCACCCGTCTGCCTCCCCTTCATACATATCATTTCAGCTTTGTCCCTCTCCGCTGTTCGCTGTTCGCTTTGGTTCGGTTCGGTTCGGGGCTTGGCTCTGTTTGTCTGCAGTCTCTCCTTCTCTCCGGCTCTCCGCCAGTCGTACGCGTGTGACCTTGAATCACACATGTGCCAGAATTGCAGGGGGGTACGGAACTTTGCCCGCTTCGCATACGTCTTCTCTTCTCTGCTGCTTCGGCTGCTGATAGGAGCTCGAAAACGAAGCTTAAACATAAAGAGAAGGTAAATTTTGACGCAGAAATCGAACTGTTTCGGCATCGACGTCACTGGAAGCCGCAGTGATCTCAATTAAATCGATGTTGAGATGTGTGGCGAAATGTCGTTTCAATACCACCAAAATGTATGCCTAAAATCAGATTCATGGGAAACGATTTGTCGTCAAATATCTTTAGATTTGGGATACCATGGTATCTCTGGAATGAGTTTAATATATCAATAATACTATACTATACTATACGAATCAAAAATTCTATGAGAGGTGCTAAAATTCTCCTTTTAATTCATTAATCTTCGATTGGATATCTACGCTCCAAGTAAAAATTCCCAATATCGTGTTTTTTTAATTATTTTAATTTTTAATTAATTATTATAAAAATATTTTGTGGGCATAGCGCAATATCCAAGCATAAGGAAACGATTTACTCATTCAGGTTTATAACCTAATTTTGGTCTTTTGGAAAGTACTTTGAAAATTTGCAAGTTTGTCGCACAGTGTTCTTGTTCTTCCTGTATTACTCAGTCTTTTCCATTCATAATTTAAATTCCATATTAAATATGCAGTTCTTCTGTTAATTTTATTGTAAGCCCATTCAGGAATATGTATGTAAATAGATTTTGGCAAATATCTCACAGAATGCAGTCGATCCAGTACCCTGCCCACGCCCCATTGGGATTTGGTTTTTAGTTTGGAAATTTTGTTGGCCGAACCCAACGGAAACAAACCATACAAGCTGCATATGTACATATATGCACCGACAATAATGAAATATTTCTGCCCGATTTGCAATCTCAACAGAAAATATTTTCTCCCGATGGATGGATGTACATATACTCGGATTTCGTGTTCGTGTTTATTTAAATGACTGAAATCTGTTGATGGAACAGAAGCCAAAAATTGAGTTAATAACTCAGTCGTCTCTGACCTTAGACGATGTCGAGAGTTTTGTAGTTTTTTTGGTTTTTTTTTTTCGTCTATTGCTAGTTGGGGAATTTGTCTGTTTAAATTAGCAGCGCTATATGGATTTTATACATTTACATTTGACGAGGGTCGAGTCGGGCTGGTTACTTTTTCAGGTATGTCAATTCTTGGGAAAATCAATAAAACTAGAGCTGTCAATATTTAATAAATAGAGCTTCTCTGTTGTACTATGGGAGAGTGAATTGTGGAAATAAGATTCACACATTTGCAAGGATTTTCTGAGACATTAAACTTGTCCCATTAATGGGAGCAAAATGATCTAGGGATCTGCGGTTTTCCGTTTACTCCCTGGTTGGATGAATCCCTCAGTAGGAGATAGAAATTAATATAGTATCACGTTTATATAAATAGTTTTTTATAAGAGAAGATCTTTTCTCTTTGATCTTTTTTTGCAATCAGTTTGATTCAAAAAGATTCAAATTTTACCTATTATGGCAAACAATGCATATTCTTTTGGAATGCCATAATAAGATCAATAGATCATCTTTGAGCTCTGCAAATGGCAGGAATAAAATTCTTGCCAAAGCAAAAAGAACATTTATTTATAACCAAATCGAATTGTGGAACACCTGCAGCGTATTATAAAAATCTCAACACTTTGGCAAACCCACTTTAAATTCAATAAGTTTTTTTGTTTTTGCGTCTTGTTACGTCATTCAAGTACAAAAAAGAAAAGAAAATAAACCGAACAATACGCACAAGGAACATCGATAAACAAAAAAAAAGCATAACAAACAAAAACAAGGAAAAGCTAGCTTTATGGGCCGAAGCTGTTGATACTCTTGGAGATCCATCGTACTCATTGAAGATAGAAAGTATAGAAAAACGATTTCAGTAGAATAAAACTACATATTTACATTAAAATATTATGCAGGTGTTCTTAATACAAACGATATGTAACTTTTGTATTGTGCGCAGCGCAGCAAACATCTGGTCGAAATCGCAGTACCCTATTGCCAGGGCATAAAAAGAAGAATGTAGAAGCGGGAGGAGTAGGAGGAGTAGGAGAGGAGGGAAGTGAGATGAGAGAGCGCCTGGCAGACTGGAAATGAAAACAAAAGTATGCGCTCTGCTCCGCTCCGCTCCTCATGGAATTCCAAGCGATATCAGCGCCCGCAGTTTATCAAGTATACGCGCGCGCCCGTCGTCGGCCTATCAGACGTGCTGCTCTCCACGATCACTCGGCGAGAGAGAGCCGAGCCCAGACCGAGCCGATGCCAAAGCCGGGGCCGCCGAGGCGGAGCCGATCTCAGCTGCAATCGCCAGCGAGTCGATGTGCTGAGACCCGGAGCCCAGGGATCGCTCAGTTTCGAGACAAACATTTCGGTGGTCGGACGTGCCAGGCCGGATAAATCATTCGTTTCCCACATTGTAACGCATATTGTGCAAGTCACACGCGACCATTTTCAGTGCATGTGTATGCGAGTGTGTGTGTGTGTGTGTGTGGGTCTATGTGTTTGTTAATTATACGCGACACGACAACTACATTGTTAGTTCGAGCTCTATTCGAGTATGTGTGAATAAATCAATGTTCGCGGCGGCTGCATTGCTAATAAAGCAACAACAAAAAATATAAAAAACAATAACAAAAACGCACACTTGAAAGATTGCGTTGCTGTTTTCATTCCATAGCCATATCTCACCAAACTGAAGACAACAAAAAGAAACGAATTTGGCGCGCAGTGATCGAATGATAAGACCGTCGGTGAACAGTCATCGAATATAAACAAAATACACACAAATATAAAACAAAATTTAATGAAATACACGTGTCACAGCAACTCAGCAAAGAGATAATTCGATTACGGTACGGTAAACCCATAAGTGCATTCAGATCAACGTCAAAACAACGAAAATTAACACAATTTGAAGGCAATAACATTTGTGACAGGTGCAAAAGCAAAAGCAAAAAGAAAACCAACAGCAACGCAACATATAACCCATAAAAGGTTAGCAGCAACAGCCATCCAATCCATTAACTAAAAAAATTCTGAAAAATCTAAGGCGCAGTTTATAAAGCTACTTACCCTCTCCATCTCTGAATGAGTATAGTCGGTTTCGGGCAGCTTCCCTCCTCTCCATTCCCTCCACCGCCATTGCAATGACACTGCAAGAAATACAAATACATATAACAACAATTGGCTCGTGGGATTAGCGGAATAAATAAGTTATAATCCCAGATACATAAATAACGAGCAAACACATGCTGTGGGGTGGCAATTAATTAACTAACTGCCACATGTAATGCAAATTTTATTTATAAATATGGAAAAGCAGAGAAGTGCATTGGAGATCGTTCGAAATGAATGTTTTTCGGGAAGGTTACTATCTGTAAAAGTCGCTCATTTCGTTGTTATCTGCACCAGCGCTTATCTACAGCGTGTGCCTTTTGTCAGTCATTCGATTGACAGGCACTTGGTTCTACGCCTTAAAAGTACCTATGTATATGAAATTTGAACCAGGAAATTCCGAAACTCTTCTGTAAGGCTATCGCTGCTCACAGATAAATGACGTCACGGCGCTGCTTTTGTAATGCAACTACACGAAAAAGTGAGAGGCATTGCACACACACCCAAACTTGATGGGACTCCTCCTCCCTCTTACACAGTTGCTCTTTGCCCTATGATTTGTAACGAGAGAGCGGGAGAGCAATCAGATCTGATCTCTTTTTGCTCATTGTAAAGCCACAAAAATTCATCTGAGGACGCAGGCAGCAGGGCATTGCCAGATTGGAAAAATGAGTGACATGCGAAACGAACATTAAAAAAGCATCGACATATGTACAATGTACATTTTATACAGTACACGAACATATAGACATGGTCTGATGGTTTTATAAGTGTTTCATGAAAGATGATGCATTTATGACCAACAACCGATGAAGTCAAAATAGAAGAAGGATACATATTGTTCTTTTGGAAAGAAGTAAAAGAAGGAGAAGTTTTCAGCACTTGATTTGTACTTCCGATTTAGAAACGCTTTCTTCTGTCGCTTACCCTTGCTTTTTTCAAGTGTAACATTCCATTTTTCAGCACAACTGATGCATATTACAATACCAAGAAAATATGGCAATAAATCGCTATAGAATGAAGGCAGCAAACTGCGATTTAATGTAATTATTATACATATTCGTAGTCGTAGTTGGGTTTAAGTATATGCGAGTCTAGAGGTGGTTCCCTGTTTGATCTGTCTCTGTGCCACAGGGGCAATAACAACAGCGATTACCGATGAATGCAATTCATTTACATACTCGTACTGGCTCCAAACCACAAATTGTATGAACATACATATTTCTAAAGACATACAGTACGAGTACATATACTCCCATGTACATATGCCGGAACTGCTCCCCTGAGTAGACGTTTCCTTTCCTCTAGAATGCATTAAATATAATTTTATTGCTTGTTTGCTTATCGCCAAGTCAAGTTTTACAAAATGCTTGAAATGTGTGTGCTGTACTATATAGTACATACAATATATAAATATATATGTATACATAAATAGCAATTGATAACGAGGGAAAGCAAGCCGAAATATGTGTACATAGCTGAAAATGGCCACGTTTCTTATCAAATCTAGAAATCATCTCTGGGGAACTCTCCAGTCCCCAGGAGGAATACTTCTTAGAGCCAAAAAAATTTTAATGCTGGCTTTTCTCTCACCGAATTCCATGCCTCTCTCTCTCCGTCTATCTCTCCCTTCATCAATACTAAACTGTAATCAACATTCAATTGACCGCAGGTCGACAAACATGGCCAAGATCTGTACAAAGAAACAAAAGCAGAGAAAAACAAAACGCTCGCCGAAATGCAAATATTTATATAAGACAATTGTAAATATTTTTACAACTGAAGACCAGGCCAGGCCCGGCTAGGCCAAGAAAAAAGTTTATAAAAATGATGCCATACGGCATCTGGAAGATTTCGTTTATTTCATTTGTAATCAAAGGAACTGCATTCGCACATGAACCGAAACCGAAATCCAATAAAGTCTTAAATACTTTTGTGCCTTATCCACGGACACGGACACAGACACGCACTCGGGCACGGGCACGGGCACGGCCTGGCAGGGCCATAAAAATAGAATGAGATGGAACAGTAGTCATGGTCGAAACTTACTTAAATATCGATTTATCTGCGCCTATGCTCAGAAGCAGATCCCTAACTTTTATTCTTGGGGCATGAACCGGGGGCCAAGCCGAAAACTAGGCGGCCAACAGCAACAGCAGCAGCGGAATTGTTTTTGGTAATTGATGAAAGAAAAACCCAAACAAAACACACACACTTTTCACACCTTCTGTACCACATAGAGACGTGGGATTCATACATACATACATATGTACAAGGTATCGTATACCCCCTTGCCTGCAGATATAACTTTGCCATTTATATTGTTCAGATGGTGTTCGGTGTTCGGATTGAAAGTTATTGGAAATTAAATGCCAACGGAGGGAGGAAGGTCACACGGCGGCAGGGCAAGTGTGTGGCAGGGCGTGTTGCGGGTGGAAAACACTTGTGGGTTAAACGATTATAGGTCAAATGGTATCGGTATCCATCTGGGTATCGCTTCAGCCAGAGTTTGGTTGAGTGAAAAATTAAAGGCATCCAACACCTCGTTAAACATTCTATCATATTTCTGTAAAAACTTTGCTAATGAAATCAATTTGGGAACTTCCTGGCATCGTTTACAAGTGTAAGAAGAGTATGCTTCTGACTAACTAACGTTTCCTTGTGGAAATTTTCCATCAATCATGCTATAGTTCCATAAAGGTAGAGCTCTATGGGGCAGAAAATTGATTGGAAGACCTAAACCAGTTCAATACTGTTTATATTTACAAAGACCTACATGTCCACGTTCAGGACAACCCAACAAAATCATGTAAATTCTTTCGTTTCCGTTCAGCGGAATACTGTATTTCCCAAACAATATTGTATTCGTCTAGGCAAATTCTTCCACGATCTGTCATCTCATTTCCAGAGAGCACACAGCGTAAAAAACACGCATACGCCACGTTGTATGCGGTGGGCAGGCCACAGGCTGCCTCTGAAAATGTTGAATTGATTGAATTGTGAAAACTTTTATCGCAAAATAATTAAATGCTGCGGTTTCTCCAATTTTTGGGCATCGCGTGTCGAGTGTTTTGTTCGGTTTTAATATTTTTCTTTGTGTGCCCGAGTGTACGAGTAGCTGGGTGTCTTGGCCATTAGAATGGAAATTGTTCTAACGCTTCGCTGGCTTTTCTTTGGTGCCTGCCCGGGAACGGGCCCTGGTGCTGGCCTGGTGTCTGGTGTGGTCTGGTCTTGTCTGGTTTGGTTCGGCATTCTGAGAATGCCTTTGGTTACTCTCAGCATTATTTACTTGACTGCAAAATATGTTCTGTTCCTTTGATTTTTGCTTGAAAAGACATGAAAATCGATTTGTTGTATAATTTAACATTTGCTGACGCTCCTCACAGGTTGTGTTCCGCTCTGTTGTGTTGTGTTCTGTTGTGTACTGGGCGGAGAGCGAGCGTGTTGAATGAAGAAGCCAAATGTAACCGGAAAATGTGAGGGAATTAATGGCCTTTTAATTAGTTGCGCACATTAACAGTTTTCAGGTGGCATGGCATACGAATTAAATTCCCAACAAAAGCAAACAAATAAAAACAAAATCTGGAAAACGAAAACCGAAATACTTTTCAATGATATTTTCATTGTAGAAGCAGAAACGGAAATTATATTCCACTGCTCATGGCAGGTTTCACTCCATTGGCGAATGCCATCAACTGACTCACAATTGAAGACACAATTCAGAGGAGAGGTTATCTCCCCACACAATAGACACTGGACAGTAGTCGCCATAATCGTACAGTTTAATAATCGCTCAGTTACCCCCTCTTTTGATTCCCAATTAGCTGAAGAAATCTGTTTGGGATTACCCCGAGATAGGCGCTGGGAAAACCTCATCAGAAGCAGCAGCATATGTACATCTGTGTGGAAATAGAAATCGCAAAGAATAAAAGTAGCTCCTCGCTCTACTGCCTGGAAATCCATTTCGGCCCGCTGTCTCCACAAATTAGATAACAATTTTCCATGGGAAAATTTGGTAGCAATCAATAAGCCAACCAAAACACACACAAAATATTGCACTCAACGAGAGACAGATTCAATTATGGTCGGTCTATATCTCTGTTTTCTGGTATAGAAAAGGAGCAAAAAGAGTTTTCCAAAAGTACGGGTCCACCACACTGTAGATGTACGTCAAAGGCAGCTCTTTTTGAGTTTCATTCAATCAAAAGAAAAGATCGGTAGTTGGAGTTAATGTATTGAATTCTGTCGAAACGTTTGGAATTACGGCATTCGGACCCCGACACTCATCGGAATTCGGCGATCTGATTTGGGCTTGCATACTAAAACTATACCTTCGAAAAGGCATTGGTCTAGGTGCCAGGTGTTCAAAGATCCAAGCGCAATTCTGGACACTTTGAGTACCGAATATAAGAAAATAACCGAGTTAAGTGAATGGGTGACCCCGACATATCTTCACATCAAAAGAATGCAATTAACTTCAACTCGCAGTACAGTGTGACACTTTCACACATATTTCCATTGCAAACAGGCTGAACAAAGTTTGAAATCAAGGAGCAAACAATCCTTAGATATTTGTATATTCATCAAACACAGGAGGCCAAATGGATTTGCTGCAAATGACAGCGTGGTTAGGCCCTCTATGGAAGACACTGTATGGGGAAGGAGCAACTGGCGGGACGAACCATAATTTCCTTTATTGATTTTCCTAGTCAACTTTTCTTTTTCTTCGCCTGAGAAGATGCCATTCGTACTTTTTGGTGACAGGCAGAATTTGTTTCGGGGAAACTTTTTATTTGATTTTAATTTTTTCTATTTATATAACATATACGGAACGGAACGGAATGAGTACGAGTACGAGTATATGGAATATAATGCAGGGC